AAAAGATCTGTCTCAGCTCTAAATCCTGTGATGCTATAAATATGAGAAAAGAAAGATGAAGTGATGATCCCATTCTCACCCAGCTAGAATGGAGTTTTGGATAAGGGTGAAGATCTGATCCTTGCTCTTTGGTGCCTTTCCCCTACATCACACGGAAGGAGTGAGTAACAGAATCGCATAGCTTCAGGGCTGGAAGGAGCTCAGAGGTAGACCAGTCCAAACCATGCCTCACCAAATGTCTCCTCCATGTAATCCTTAAGAGTTGATTATCCAACCTTTGCTTGAAGACCCCTTAGTGAGGGGGAGCCTGCCACCTCCTCTATGGGGCTGATCTTGGCAGTTTCTTGATGAATTTGATGAGTCTGAAGGATGGTGGGACTTTGTTTGGTTCTTTGATTTAACTTCTTATAAAGATATATAGCTCGTAGGATCACAGATTTAGGTTGGAAGAGATCTTTGAGGCCATCTAGCTCAGATAGGTAAAATGAGGCATAGAGCAGTGAAAGGTCTAGTCCAAAATTGCACAAGTGATAGAGGTAGGCTTTGAACCCACATTCTACGACTTCAAATCCAGGGCTCATTTGCTCTATACCATGCTTCCTTTTAGTGCTGCTTGGAGGATAGGCCTTAGTGATCATGGATGAATTGCTTGACTCAGATTCTTGTAGGATGGACAATTGTGGGAGAAGTTAATATTTAATATTAGGCCTAAAATATTCTAGCCTTTTTGACTTTTTCTCTTCCTTTCTGAGAAGAGCTCAGATACTTGAGAATGGAATTTGGCCCCCAGACAGCACCTAAGACGGACCAGAGAAGCATTTTCTCAGTTTAACAGATGGCCATGAAGCTGGAGAAGACAACTATCATGCTATGGGCAGAGGGGAAAACCAAGATTTTGCCCTCCACTATTATTGTGAATTATTTAAAGATTGTAGTTCCAAAGCAGCAACCGCAAAGGAAATTAAGCCCTCAGGGTGATATCATAAGATGGTAGGCTTGTTTTGGTTTGGGGGGGATAAATGGAAGACTTGCTGGAATGTAAGGAGGGGGTTGCCTGTCTAGCAACACCAAGTTCCTTTCCCTTCTTGGGGAGGTTAAGCTTCTAGAGTAGTAAGTATCATAAAACTGAACTAATGCCCATTTGTATCTTTGGGGTGAAAATGGTATTTATTGGAATGTTAGGTGGGGGTTGCCAGTCTAGACACCCCTAAAATTCTTCCCTTTCAAGTGTAGTTCAGACTACAAGGTAATAAGCCTGGATCCCTATATGAGTATCTTCAGTGAGACAGGAACTATTCACTGAAGTATTAAGGAATTACCTCCCTAGAAATCCTCTTTGTTTTTCTCCCGGGGGTGGTGATAGGAACAAGAAAGACTTTAGGACCCTGAAAGAAAGTGGGACTCACCAGAGAGGAAGGTGAATTGAATCCATTGTCTAGGGGCTAATTTTATTTTTCCCTATTACATTTGATCTCATTAGATTTACCCAATGTTCGAGCCTCTTAAGATAATTTTGGATGCTGATTGTCATACAGTATGTTAGCTATCCCTCTTAGTTTCATGTCATTTGAAAATTTGATAAGTAGGCCGTCTATGACTTCATTCAAGTCACTGATGAAAATAACATACGGCTAAAAAATTCTATGGGGAATTCCATTATAGACTTACCTTCAAGGCCATGGGATCTTATAGCGTGTTCCTTTGAGCTCTTTGAAATATGTGCTCTCCAAATTGAGTGGGCATGTTAGACTAAGCCTAACTTTCTTTTTCTCAATCACACATTCTGAGATAGAGCAGTTACTTCTCCCTTATTTTCTCTTAATCTCCATGTTAAGCACCAATTCCTCCTTGCTGGTCAAGATTCCATTCTGCATAACATCTCCCCTTGCCTCTTCCCTTTGTCACCTTTTTGAAGGAAAAAAATAGTCCTCAAGGCAAACTAAGACTTTATGAGCGGCTCTATTTTTGGCAATCAATCAATCAATCAACCAACCAGATTTTATCAAATACTTACTAAGTGGCAGGCATTGTGCTAGGTGTGGAGGATACTAGATAGAAATGAGGCAGTCTCTGCCTTAGGCAAATGAGTTTTGTTGAGAGACTAGGGGAGAAAAATAGATACCTGAGCAGAGCAGGTGTAGAGATTTGCAGTAGAGAATCTTAGGCAACTAGAGAATTTTATGAGATCTCTAGGTTCTTGGATGAGGTGGGAGTTAGTAGGAGAATGGGTGGGAGAGGGGCTGCTGCTGATAAATACTTTATTTCACAATTTTGCCTACAGTGGGTCCTTTTCCTAGGATAATACAATCTACAGTCATAGGCTAAGAATGACTGACCTCTGTGTGTTCCTATCATCATAGGGTCAATCAACATTTCCCCTACTGAGACCCAGCTGTGTTTTTGCCCTTCAGGCCATTTCCCTTAATGGCAAGATGAGGTAGTCTCTGGGGGAAAGAGGGTCAAGAACATCCTCTCCCTAGGGAATCTACTTTAGATAGAATATGTTAGGGACTAAAACTGAGCAAAGACCAGTATCACCCGACTGAGTCAGTTGTGCAGAACAATTGAGAAGTGTGCTCTGGGGAGCGGCCTTTACTCAGGGATTTTATTCTAGTTTGCTCTGTGGATACTGGCCCCTTCCCACACCACTGCTGCAGTCAGCAGAGAGGGCCCAATGTGGGAGATGGGTCTTCAGAGACACCTTCACATCAACATTCTAAATGAAAACCATGAGGCCGATTCGGTCTACAAGCCTCACCTTACTTGTTGTCCCCCTGGCTAGTAGTTCCCTCCACCTACCCCACTAATCCCTATAAGTCAGAACTGATATCTGCCTAGGTGAGGTTTTTTCCTTATTACCTTTCTCTGTATTCTGATCTCTTATTTAGTCTATCCTTATCCCACCCAGAGGGCAGCTAAGTGGTACCATAGAGGGCTGGGCATGGAGTCAGGAAGACTCATTTTCCTGAGTTCAAATCCAGCTTTAGACACTTACTAGCTATGTGACCCTGGGCAAGTCACTTAACCCTGTTTGCCTCAGTTTCCTCATGTGTCAAATGAGCTGGAGAAGGAAATGGCAAACCACTCCAGTATCTCTGCCAAGAAAACCCCAAATGGGATCATGAGGAGTCAGACACGACTTGAAATGTCTCAACAACACTATCCCTCCCAATCTCCCAATATCCCTCCTAGTCTCCTTTGCCCATTCATTCAATTATACCATATGACTTAAAAAATTATTGATATCTTTTGTTTTTGTGTCAACAAAGCACTAGCTTTAGAGGTAGAGAACATAGGTTCAAATCCCACCTCTGACAGGATGGATTTAGTCCTAAGGAGATAAATATTCTTCCTGGTTGCTCCCCCAACTTTATATTCCCGTATCCTTAGGTGGGAACCACTAAAAGGCCTAAGCTATTATTTATTGCCATCTAGTTTTTGTTTTTGATCAGGAAAACCAAATATTTCTCTAATATTTGAAGGCCCCAAAGACTCTGTGAGCAGCAATCTTTGTGCAGAGCAGAATAATCCATGACTCAGGAACCTCTTTAGTTTGTAATTTAATTCCACTGCTCATCAACGTTTGTTAGCCTGTATAGCCATCTCAACAGAAACATGGAATCCAATTAGGGGCTGAGATTGCATCAGTTGTCATAGATCATTGTTCATCTGGCACCATCTGGCCTTCATTTGAGCCAACAGGGCCCAGCGCCAGGCAGCCAGGCAGCCAGGCAGCTAGGCTGGCAGGCAGGCAGGCAGGCAGACCCTCAGGGTGACCTTGAGCTGCGATTCTTCCCTTTTCTCTAAACCCAACCAATCGGTAGATTTGGGACCTTAGCCAGCACCTCTGTGTTCTGCTATGATTCCAGCTGTAGAGTAATTTTAAATATTTTAGGAGTCAAATTTTAGTTCTGCAAGGGACTATAAGGAAAGTTACCATGTTGGGTCAAATAGAAGTCTCACTCTCCCCCCTCAAGATGGTTAAGGCATAGGCATAGATTCGATCTGGGCTTTCAGTGGTAGAGGAAAATTCCAGGTGAGGAAACTCCCTCTACTGATATAAGTCAGCACCTTTTCTGCAACTTATGGTCTTAGAGAATTGCCTAGATCGTTAAGAGGTCAAGTGACTTGCTTACGTTTTGTCTCAGAGGCAGGACTTGAATCCAGGTTTTCCTGGCTCCAAGGTCAGGTTTCTATACATTATTTGTTGTTGTGTCATTTCTGTGATAACTGATTCTTCAAGACCTCATTTGGGTTTTTTTTTGTTTTTTGTTTTTTTGCAAAGATACTGAAGTGGTTTGACATTTCCTTCTCCAACTTGTTTTACAGATGAGGAACTGAGGCAAACAGGATGAAGTGACTTACCCAGGGTCACACAGCTTGGAAGTAAGAACACCTTTGAACTCAGGAAGATAAGGAAACTGAGGCAGATAGAGGTTAAGTAACTTGCCCAGGGTCATACATCTAAGTATTTGAGGCTGGATTTGAACTCAGGTCTTTCTAACTCTAGGGCTAGTGCTGTGTTCACTGCACCACGTAGGGGATATTGAGCTGGCGGTTGCTTCAACCCTGACTATTGCATTATGATGACATTCCATAGTACCACAAATCTATGAAGTTCCACCTCTCTGAATAAAGGTCCTTGAATTCTAGTCAAGGCTCCACCACTGACTTGTGGTTTGCCTTTTGGCAAGACATCCAGTCTCTGAGTCTGTTTCCCTATCAATAAAATGGGGAGATGATGATTGCCCTTTTTTCTCCCAGGATTGTTGTGAGGATAAATGAGGTAAGAGATAATTGGGTGTAAACTGTTGTAAATGATGAATAAATGAAAATCAGCCCTAGTTACCTTTGAGAGCCTCCAGAGCCAGAGAGACCATAGAGAATCATGTATTCAGAGGTTTTGAAATGCCAGCGAGCATTTCATTAGCCCCTTTTTATTTCTACTGACTAGTCCAAAGGAGATTTCAGCCAAGTGATTGCTCCAAACCAGAAGACTGTTAGGTTTTAATATACAAATCTTTATTAATTTGCAAAGTACAACAAAGAATTCAGAAATTCTGCAGCAGAGAGTGCCACCTATTGTAAAGTCACAAATACAAGTCAATCTCCCTGAGAATTTAATTGCTGTTAACAATTGCTAATGGGTTCTAGCAATTCCTTTCTCTGCTCTACCCCTACCCTCCTTTCAGTGCCCCCTTCCCCTCCCAGCAACTGATTTGGCAAATAAAATAGATCAGCTTAAGCTTCTCAGGTCATGAAATCTCCCAGGATTTCTAGATGAGGATGGTTAAAAAAAAAAGATACTGGCGATTTCAAGTAGTTAAAATTATGTTCTGTTTTCAGTCATTCCTAATTAGATCCTTGTGATAACTTGCCTTGAATTAAATGGATTTAATTCTATCGTCCAGATTCAAAACTTCCAGCTAGTTTCATGTGGAGCTTTGCTCACCTGTGGGCTATCAAAGACACCCTGGTATTGGGATTGTTTTTAATACCAAGTTTTTACTGATTGAGCTCCTGAGGTTTCCTTACTCAGCTTGACACACAGCCTGGTCTATATTCTCTTGTGGAGGTTGTGCTGGGATGAAGGTGGATAGATTGACAGTTTATATGTGTGGGTAATGTTTGGCTCCTCCTGCCTGAAATACTAGCTTGAAAGGGTTGGAGATTTTGTAAAAAACAAAGAAAATAGAAACTTTGTAAATAAAAGCTTATTGGGTATGATTCCCCAGTATTGGCAACAATGGTGTCCTGTAATATGTTGGTTTCCATCCCAATTCCCATCTCTGACATTTCTCTTTCATCTCTGGAAGCCTCAGGAGTCGCTCCCAACCAGATTCAGCAGAGCTGTCTTGTAATCTCCACTGGTGTCTTCCTGGAGGAGTGTCAAGAAAATGAGAGTTAACAGAGTGATCAATCAATCAATCAATCAATCAATCCATGTGTTTATTAAGTGCTAGCCATGTGCAGAGCAGCTAGGTGCCTCTAGGTGGCACAGTGGATAGAGAACACTGGGCTTGGAATCAGGAAGACTCATCTCCATGAGTTCAAATCCAGATGCAGACACTATGTTTGTGATCCTGGGCAAGTCACTTAACCCTGTTCGGCTCAGTTTCTTGCTCTGTAAAATGAGCTGGAGAAGGAAATGGCTAACCACTCCGGTGTCTTTGTCAAGGAAACCCCAAATAGGGTCACAAAGAGTTTGACATCATTGAACAACAAAAATGTACAGAGCACTGTGTTAGGGGCTAGAGGAGATAACAAAAGTTAGATAAGAGGTGTCTGTTCTCACGAAACGTATAGCCTAATATGTTAGCACTCATTCTCTCAGGGAAATCTTTTTTTTTTTAGGCAATTGGGGTTAAGTGACTTTCCCAGGGTCACACAGCTAGTAAGTGTCAAGTGTTTGGTCTGGGGCCGGATTTGAACTCAGGTCCTCCTGACTTCAGGGCTGGTGCTCTACCCACTGCAACACCTAGCTGCCCCAGGGGGTTATTTCTGAACGAGGAAGTAGAAAAGGGGAAAAACCTTGGTCCTAATTCAGTAATTAGTTATTAAATACAAGACAGAAATAAAGATTTGTCTCATCACTGATGTGAGAAGATGGATAAACTTTACACTATAGATGGAGAATGTGTGCTAGATTCAAGCAGAAGAAAGTGGGTATATTTAACATGATAGAGAAAAAAAATCTGAAGCATCTCTATGCAGTCTGAGTCTCCTTGGACAAAGAGGTCTAAGGGTTTGATCTCACACTTCCTGTGAGCCAAATGCTCGTCTTGTTGATAGATACTGGCTACATGGTGCTCCTTGGCACCATCCTGCACGAGAACTTTATAATGAGAAGCATCAGATTAACTTCAGAGGCTGCATTTCATGAAGTGAATGTTTAACTCAAGAGAAAATTTCCTCCTTTCCACTCTGTAATTTCTGACTCTGTCAAACTGGAGCCAATAAATTAATAGAGATGAGATGGAATATTCAATTCTAACACCAAATTGACCTAACAACTAGGCAATAAAAGCTAATAGAATCAGCCCTCACTCGTCTATTGGTAAATAAAGGTCTGGTGGCCTTATTATCATGAAGATCCACTGGAAGTTGAGGAGAGATAGGAGAGAGGGAGCAAGGCAGAGACAGGCAGAGATGACAGAGACATGCAGACAAATAGAGACAGTGAGCACATGCAGAGACAAAGACGGAGACACCCAGAGACAGAGACCATTGAGAGAGACAGAGAGAAAGAGACGGATAGATACTGAGACACAGAGATAGAAAAAGAGCGTGGCAGAAACACACAAAGAAGCAGAAAGAAACCAGAGAAAAATAGAGACAGGGACACAAAAAGAGACAGAAACAGAGAAAGACTGAGAGATACACAAAGACAGAGAGAGAGAGAAGCACAAAGGAAAGAGAGACAGCGAGAGTGACACATACACAGAGATAGAGAGACAAAACATGTATGGAGAGAAACAGAAACAAATAGAAAAAGACAGATACACAATGAAAGAGGCAGTGGAAGAGAGAGAGAAAGAGAGAGAGAGGGAGAGAGAGAGAGAGAGACAGAGAGAGAGAAACATTTATTCTTCTTCCACACTTCTCCAAGCTGGGCAATTAGGGAGTAGAATCCCAGGAGAGAACCTGAGGGGAGGGATTTGTGTTGATGGAATTCTTATATTAGGGCTGTAAGTGATTCTGGAGATTACATAGGTCTTTGAGACAAGTGGTTTCTAATTGAGGAATTTTTGTTTTGTTTTCCTCTTTCTTTTCATTAAAAAAAAACTCTCATTCTGTAAGCTGCATGCTTACAAATGAGAAGCCAATTTCAGCATATTGTCTGAGGCTTCTTTGGGGGGGGGGTTATGAGTCAAAGGAGTGAGGAAATCCCCCAAAGTATACTTGGATTCTTCAGATGGTGAATTAGTTTCTGGTTACTAAGGCTTAGATAACTGATATTAAAAAACGAGGCAGGTGACTACGCTAAACCAAAAAGTATGCTTCATTTACAAGCCACATAGAAAAATTCACCCAACTAAAGGCCTCCACCTCTAATAGAGATACCTTTAATGTCTGTAGTTAAGCACCACAAATAAACACAAAGCTCACTCACAAAATGGGGTAATGTTTTTTTGTGTCCTAATTTGTTGAATGAAGGAGAGTTAGGAAAGCTGACTTGTTCTCTGTTAGAATGTGTTTCACATTATTATATTGATATCCCCACACCTGTCCCCAAGCACATACTCAGTGTTACAACAGCAGGGTGTTGATTACCAATGAATCCCGGGTCTAGAGGGGCCTTTCAGAGGCTGCTCAATCATTACCACTTTCAGTTATCAGGGGGCAGCCTGAACTGCTGGAGCTATTGTGTCCTTATAGATGTCCAATTGATAGCTGGTAAATTCATTTAAAAATAGCACAATATTGGTGGAAATAGTACTGTACTCAAAGTCAGAAGATCTTCCCTCAAATACCAGGGCTGGTGCTTGTCAATGGCGTGACTTTAGTCAAATCAGTTTTCCACTCTGGGACTCAGTGTCTGCAACTATAAAATGGGGGTATTGATATTTTCTTTTTTTTCCCTTTTGGATCTATTTTCCAAGTCAGTTGTTTTATCAATGAGATATTCTATGTTTTCTGATATTTTTTCATTCTTTTGTTTCTGTTTGACTGATTCTTGATATCTCATAGAGTCATTAGCTTCCACTTGCCCAATTTTATTTTTTAATGAATTATTTCCTTCTATTAGATTTTGTACCTCTTTTTCCATTTGGCCCCTTTTACTTTTTTTTTTGTGGTGGTTGTTGTTTGTTTAAGCTCTATAGCAATTTTATTAAATTATTGCAGCATCACAGATTTTCAACCTAATCAAAGCCATAGTCCTCTCTGGATGGGGCTCATCTTAATATGGAAGAAAGACTTTCAGAAATAGGCTTCTTCAGGGTCAAATAGCATGGTGGAAGACAGGACAGGGGCAGCCTTGCCATCCACTGACCCATGGCAGGCTGTCAGGATGGGGAGGACTGATGGAGAGGTTCACTATAATACAGGGTCCAGTACAGAGCAACAGGAAGTCTTGACCACAAGTTTTTTCTAGCTTCTTCTAACCTTAATAGTACAAACAAGGGCCATTTTTGTTATATAGTCTACTCCTGGGGCAGCTTTCTCCTCAGTAAGGGAGGTCCAGCCCAAAGGGAAGATAAGAATAATTTATAGAATGTGTGGCCTTGAGAGAAAGGATTCTGGGAAGATGGCAGAGCAGGTCAGAAAATTTCAAGCTGTCGAGATTTTTTTCCTCAAAAGAGATAAATTAGCATCACTGGGCGAACATAGAGCCATGAAAACAAATAAGAGTAGGGGCAGAAGAGGGTCTTCCTGGGACAATTGGAGAAGATCCGAAGAAAAATGCTCGGCAAGATTTCCTCCCTGTGAAGAGCAAACACCTTTAGACTAGGGTCCTTAAACAAGAAGCAGCTAGCCCTGGGGTTAGCTGGTTTGAGACAGTGAGGGAAGTTGGACTTCTGACCTGGAAAAGATCAAGGGAACCTCTTCTTTTTTTTTTAAATTCAGCCAGAGACAAGGTTTATTAAAGATCCGTCATATTGGTCAGACTCTTAAGGAATCTGAACATTTGTGAGTTATTGGCTAGGTTCTTAAGGAATCTGAGCCAGGCATTGGTATTTTCACTGCCTACCACCAGAGTCATCGTGAAAAAAGAAAGTACTTTATAAATGTGAGCTATTATCTATCATTAGTTAAAGGCCATCCCCAGCATTTGCCCAATGCAATTCAGATTGTACTTGGAGGAGGTGGAGAGAAACAACAATTTTACTTAGAGATCTAAGTATTGTTTTCAACTACCAATTAACTCGGTTTGTCCAGGCAAGTCAGCTGGGGAAAAAAAAGACCTGACATTTAGATCGTAGATACAAGTATTATTTCAGCTGTGTGAGGAAATGTCTGAAGCAATCCTTTTCCTTCTCTCTTCCTTCCCTCTTGTATATTTTCTTCAGATTGGGGGAGAAGAAAAAGGGCAAAGGGGAGATAGTCATCACAAGTTTCATCAGGGAATTAATATTCATTCCAGATCCCTAAAAGGGGTTCATTAATCAAGAGAGCAGAAGCTGACATTGTATATTAGAAGAAGGAGCCTTTATCTACAGAGATTTTCTGTGGGGAGTGTTCACGTGATGAGCCTTTAGGTCCATTTCCAAGTGAGAGGGTTCATCTGTATGCTGGGGAAAAGGATACTACTTTTTTTTTCATTCATTATTCAACAAATAGTTACTAAGTTTACTATTAAAAACCAAAGTTTATAATAACTATAGGCTTAATGTATCTGCAAGTATGCCTGGGCAGGTTACAAAGGAGTGTGTTTGTGTGTATGTGTGCATGTGTGCATGTGTGTGTGTGTGTGTGTGCATGCATATGTTTTGAATCAAAGGCTAAAAGTGGTTCAATAATAATAATGACAGCTAACATTTATATAATGCTTACTATGTGCCAGCATTATGTTAAATGCTTTGCAATTATTTGATCCTTACAATAATCTTGGGAGGCAGGTGCTATTATCACCCTCATTTTATAGGTAAGGAAACTGAGGAAGAGAGGTTAGATAACTTGCCTGAGGTCACACAGCTAGTAAGTGTCTGAAGCCAGATTTGGACTTGGGTCTTCCTGACTCCAAGCCTAGCACTCTATCTACTATACCACCAAGCTACCAAGCTGCTGCCTCTATCTCAGGGAAAACCTCACTTAAACCTTAATGTATTAGCAGTGGGATTTTTTTTTTTTACATTTGTGCTTCATCAGAAGATTCTGAGCTCTGAGCTCCTCTCTCTCTCTGGGTGATATAGGAGGGCTGGGGGCTCAAAGGCCATTAGTACTAAAGTATGATGCTCTTGTGGACTCAGCCTTGCTTTAGAAGGGAATAATCTGATGAGTCCTGTCCAAGTATCGAAGTAAGAATGATAAGTTACAGGCCTTGTCAGGTGCTGGACCAGTAGATCATAGGAACTTGGACAAAGGATGCTTAACTGTCCTGGGGGGGAAGGAGAAAGGAGATCTAGATTGGGATGAGATTTTGTAAATAAGAACAGCATGATGTACTCTCGTGAAGGCTTGGGGGCATGTACTGGCTGTGTCTGCACAGCACAGGGAAAAGCTTTCTAATAACTAGAACTATCTAAAAGTGAAACGGGCTATGTTGGGAGCTAGGGGTTGCTCCCTTCGATTTAAGCCTTCAAGTGAATGTCAAATACCTACTTTACCCAGGAGGCTGTAGAACTTTGCATTGCATTAGTCAGATTAGAGTTAAGCCAGATGACTTGTGAGATCCTTTCCAACTCTGAGATTCAGTGATTCTGTGGATGACACAGAGTCCATGCTCCTGAGTTTAAGTATAGACAGTAAAGAGATGTAGAAGAGCTTCAAGAAGGGGCCATATCTGGTCGGTCTCCTCATTGCTAGAGCTCACACTGATGGAAGGAAAAACTTCTTAAAATTAGAGCATATAAGTGAAATAGGCTACCCTGGAAGGTAGGGGTTTCCCCTCATTAGAAGCCTTCAGGTAAAAATTGGATGGCCATCCATCTGTAAGGGGATAGAGGTTAATTCCAGTCTGGCTTTAGGAGAGATGACTTCTAAGATTCTTTCTGACTCAGATTTTGTGATAACTAGACTGGGAAGGTAAGGGAATGTCCACCAGTGCTCTGGTAAATTTTTTTCCATTCGTGAAATCTTCCTCTAATACACTTTGGCCAATATTCTTCCAAGAGGGTCATTGAGGGTCAGTCTTTTGGTTTTCCCAGTAGAGAATTCATAACTTGAGTGGCAAGTTCTATGATCAAAAATGGTAATAGTGTTGGCCTGGTAAGGAGAACCACATGGCTCAGGGACTTCTTTGCCAGATTCTCATGACCATTGTTTGCACTATAATGGGGCTTTCTTGGAACTGACTCTTAGAACTAAATCTCTTAGGACTCTGATTGCTTATCACTGTCCCAAGGAAGACTTTCTATTTCATCTGAAAAAGATAGTACTAGTTTTTATATTTTGAAGGGTAATGTAAGTTCATTTCTAGGACAAAACACTTTAGAAGATATTAATCTACATTCTGGTTTCTTAGTTTCATCTCAGAATATAATCATATATATATATGTAAATTTCAAAGGTCTTAAAGTAGAAGAGAATTGAATAATTGAAAAATCTCTTTGGACACAAATTCATGCTCTAAAGACACATCAATGGTTTTGAGGCAACCCCATCCAAATTCAGGGCAGCTAGGTGGAGCAGTGGATAGAGTGCTGGGCTTGGAGTTAGAAAGAGTCATCTCCCTAAATTTAAATCTGGCCTCAGACACTTACTTACTAGCTGTGTGACCCTGGGCAAGTCATTCAACTCTCTTTACCTCAGTTTCCTCATCTGTAAAATGAACTGGTGAAGGACATAGTGAACCATTCTAGTATTTCTGCCAAGAAAATATCAAATGGGATCATGAAGAGTCAGACATGATTGAAAAACAATTGTACAACAATCTAAATTCATGGTTCATTGACATTTCATTCACGAATTCCTTTAGACAGTCCAAGTTAAATAAACTTTGCTCTAGGCACCAAAAGCAAAAAAGCAAATAAAAAATGTGGTTTTTTGACTTGTCTATCAGAGGGAATTCCAAAGTTATTCCATGAATTCATTGAAAAGAACCTGGACACTGAGATGCTGCTACTACTTCAAGCCCTCAGGTTTAAAAGCCCTTTTAGGGGATGTTTTCACAGATGCCTGCAGTAAGCAGTAAAAATGAGGAGGCATTTTGGAGGGTTCTTCCATGGAAGAGGGATTGGATTTGTTCTTTGTGGTACCAGAAGGCAGAAGAATTTGATCTTTCATTGGGAGGCAATTAGACCCGGAGATGTGACATGACCACATCTGTGTGTGTGAGAACAATGAATTATGTGGGTAGAGGATAAAGATTTACTCACCATGATCATGCTAGAAAGAGACTTCCCATACAGCTTCTTAAACTCACACTTTATGAGGTTTAAGTCGATTTCACTCCTTGAAACAATATTTCGGATCAGGGTGCCATCCCGAGTTCCTAATCCCTGCATGAAATAGTTATAAAATAGATATCACTTCTGGCCTTTTCAAAAGAGAGAGAAACTAATTAGAATTCTACTGAGTCTCTAGTTAATGAAACATAGCCATACACGTTTTGAAAAACAGTAATGAAATTCATTAATGAAATGTAAAGTATCACTCTCCATGATTTCTTCTCCATTAAATTTGAACCCTTTTCTCTTTCTTAGGAGTAAAATTTTGAAGGTTTTAATGGCTGTTAGTCATTTATGTGAGAAATGTAGATTAATCAATGCTTGAAAAAATGACATTTGAGGACACCTTTACTTGTTATTTTAAAAGTAAAACTTTCCTAATAAAAGTCTACCCATACCAGTTTAATTTGAGCCTAACGAAATACTGTCTTTTGGGGCTTGTGTCTTTTTCTTACCATAGTCAAGCTGTTTTTCCTGATTTCATCTTCTTAATGGGCCTTTCTGCTTCCTCATATAGTGAGGTACTTTCACATAGTGATAATAAAAATGGTAGTGTTACTATCATTAATGAGGGGAATAGATTGTTATAGAACCCCTGTTCGATTTCACAACCATTTGCTATCTTTCTTTCAGTTTTGTCTACAAATGCTCTTGAGATCCAATTTAGCCAGGTCTTATGCCAACCTTTTTGCATACTCATTTTCCCCTCAAGGACTTTTTGATGTTTCATGAAGTGATATGGCATCTCTCTATCATATTTGTCAATAATGCATTGGAAATGAGTTTGAATCTAAGCTAATATTGTTTTTGGCAGTTATGTCCCTTTTCTAGGCAAAGAGATCACATGTTTTCTGGCTGAGGCTGTTTGTGGGAGGTCTTATTGTGATGAATACTTTAATACTGGTTAGATTTCTCAAAGGGATAGTGATAATATCTTTGCTTTCATTTATTTGCGGTCTTTCCAGGTCAGCAACTTTTAAAAATAAATTGGTCGGATGCTGTTAACTTAGTCATTTGACAAACAGTTATTAATCCCTCCCGGTTTAGCGTACTCTGCTTGTTGGTGGGGGAGGTATAAAGTTTAAATAATTAAATAAGTGATTCTCACCCTCATAGGGCTGATAGCCTATCAGGGGAATCAGCCAAGAACATACACAACCATAACACTTAAATATTATAAGTATATTAGACAGCTAGAAAACAAAGTGTTATATAAACTCCATCAATGAAAGTCATCCCTTTTGGGGTTCAGAAAAGGTTTTCTGCAGAAGGCAGCATTTAAAATTGACTATAAAGGTTGGAGAAAAATTTTAAAAAATAACTAGAGGAGGAAACAGTAAAGCACAAAGGTAAGAGGTCATGTATTATATTCAAGGGGGCAAAGAACAGACTGGTTTGGAAGCAGAGTGGGTGAGAGGAGCAAAATGAGACAAGCCTGGAAAGGTAGTGTCAAATTATTGAGAATACCGAATGCTAGGCAGAAGAATTTGAACTTTACTTGGCAAGTCATATGATTTTTTGAGCAGACAAGGGACATGTTAAGATCAATGTGCAAGAAATATTCCATGCTGAAGGATGGTTAGGGGGGATACAGAACAGAGAGGGAAGGAGAATGCCTATTAGCATCTTAAGCAACAGTGATAATAAAGTCCATTCTTATGCAAAGAATGGACACAATGGGAATAGGGAAGAGGGGACAAATGTGAGAAGTGAAATCAACAAGACTTAGTAATGAATTGGTTAGGAGAGGTAAGACAGAGAAGAATCAAAGATAATCCCAAGGTTGAAGACATGGGAGACCAGATGAATGGTGGTGCTCTACAAATGAATGATCTGGAAAAAGCATTGAGGATCAGTATGTCTCCCTGCCCTTTTTCCTGGCCCTGTGTGTTATAGGCAGTGGGGAAAAGGGAGTCCATTGGAGAAGTTTATAGAGGTATGGTAAATAGCAGAGTTTCTGTTAAAATGAGGAGGTAGAAGGCATATTGACTGAAAAAATTAAAGATATTGGGGAGTTCATTGAGAATTGAACAGGAGTTTGAAAGATCATAATATAAAGGTATAGCAGATGGATAGCCAACTTGTGTTGGAATTTAAGTTGAAGTTCACTCAAGGAGAAACAAAGAGGCATATGGTAGACGTGAGTAGGCTCTAGCAAAATTACCTTGTATTTGTTTTGTCCATACTATATAAAAATGTGTTCTATCCTCCCTCTCCATTTACCTTTCCCCACCATGTCAGTTTCTTTAAGGCAAAGACTGTTTTATTTTCAGCTTTATAGTTTCAGCCTTGTCACAAGCCTTACAAATGCTAATAAATGCTTTTTGATCAATAAGTATTGGTTACCAACCACGAATCCAACCATGTTTACTTAATATGGCTCCTTGGGAAATAAAAGAGCTTTCCATAAGTAGAATTTAGGTCAAAGGAAGATTATTTTGTTCATTTAAGAGGCTCAAAGCTAAAGAAAAAAAATACATTAAAAAAACCAAACCCCAAACCAGAATGATCATATTTGGTTTTCCCCATAAGACCCAGGAACAAGGGACTTTGAAGAGGTTGATAGGGTAAATTATTAGCACAGTCTCTCACCTTTATGGAATAGTACAGTCTCTCTGCAAAGTAACTGTGAATGTTCCGGGTACACTTCACTAGACAAAGAGAAAGGTTCTGTTAATCTTCCAGAAGTAATAGGTAATATTGCTAAAGTGTGAAATTTGAATCTCTTATGAATATATGGCAACTGGGGCCCTCTCAGCTTGACTTGCCCATGATTCCAGGATTAATGGTTCCTTGCAATATTTTATCATCATGAAAGATATCAGTGGTTGATTGATTTCATGGATATAACTTCCAACAGTCAGAGTCTAGGTTATTGTAAGGGTTGGCCTTGATAACCTAAGCTGAGCTATCTCTAAAATATGACTTCAAAAAGTTTTCTCTTAGAAAATGGCTGCAATTGTAAAATGGGAGAGACTTGGCACACTGCTGGGAGGGTCCAGGGGATCATAGGCTCCAAGACCCACTGGATTTTAATTCAAGGTTTGGAGCAGCACAGGGAATTTCAAGGCCTTCAGCTCAACCTGTGCAATTTATGGCAAACACAGACCTGTGTTTTCTGTGTTTTTTTTTTCTTTCTACTTAGTGCCTTATTTATTTATTTTTAACATTAATGTACTTGAAAATTCTTAATTTGTATGGGCATCTTTTGTTTTTATATCACCTTCATTTCCAAATATATCCCTTTCCTCCTGCAAGCCATTCCTTTTCTCTAAGATTAAAAAAAAGAGAAAAAAGCTCAGTTCTTTGCATTCACTCTGTATGTAACTTAAATACTGTCTCCTACATTAGAATGCAAGATCCTTGAAGGCAAAGATAGATCTTATTTTTTTCTTTGTATTCCCAGCACTTAGGACAGTGCCAGGCACATAGTACATCTTTAATAAATTCTTGTGGCTGATTGAAATTGGATAGTATATGCCCTATAGGGCCCTATAGGCCCTCACTCATAACATCAGTTTTTAAAAATGATATTTTTAACATCAATGCATTTTAGAATATGTTGTATAAATTAGATAGTCACAGATATTTAGAATGGGAAGACAGCTTGGAGTCCATCTAGTCTGAATAGTTTGTGGCAGATTTAGGACTTGGACCTAATCATCTGACTCCAATTCTAGTGCAGATTAATCCTAATTTCTTCCCTCTGATCTGAAGGTATAGTAAGTATAGTGAAAGGGGCACTGGACTGAGCCAAAAAATCGAGTAGCTCAGTGGAAAGAAAGCTGGAACTGGAATTGAGAAGATCAGAGTGCAAATCATCCTGCAAACACTAGTTGTGTCTCCCTGGGCAAGAATTAACTTCTCAGCCTCAGTTTCTTCATCTATAAAATGGGCATAATAATTGCACCGACTTCCCAGGGTTGCTGTAAGGCTCAAACAAGATCTTTGTAGAGCGCTTAGCACAGTGTGTAGCATATAGCAGGTGCCTAATAAATGCTTCCTTCCTTCCTTCCTTCAACCAGCTGTATGACCAAGGGCAAATAAATCAGTTCATCTCATGTAAAATAAGAAGACATTTTGAAGGGTAGTTATGTGGAAGAGAGATTAGGTTTGTGCTGTCTTATCTTAGAGGGCAGAGATATTTACTTATCTCTGGACAAGTAGAATATAAGCTGCTTGAGGGCAGGGACTGCTTTGTTTCTGTCTTAGTGTACTCAGTGTCTAGCACAGTGCTCGGCAAATACAGATAGGGACTGGACTTGTGATTTCATTGACATAAAGAATTCTTAGATGAGGAAATGTTCTCTACCAGTGCAATTTGGCACCTTATCTGCCACTTACAGCCATAGGGAGTTGCCTAAAGGCCTGGAAGTTAAATAATTTGTCCAGAATCACCCAGCCAATATTTATCAGAGGTGGGATTTGAACCCAGATGTGCCTGGCCTCAAGGACAACTCTGTACCAGGCTTAAGAAATATTTGTTGAATTGACTTGAATTCTGTGATTTTTGGTCTTGTCTCCACTGCTGGACCCAAGTAGACACAGCTCTCAAGAGGCAGCCTCCATCTGAAAGCCATAGAAGATGTGCTCAATTTTCAAGACTCTCCCAACGCCTTACCCACAGTAAGCATTGCCTCCTCCAGAGAACCATGGGTCTCACTCTTAATGCTGTCCTCAATGCTCTTGTTGGCAATTTTCTGGTACTCATCAAACACTGTGTGGAAAGAAGGGGTATTAGTCACAAGAATTTCTAAGGGAAAGAAGACTGCTATAGAGAAGTTTTCTGAACCCAAAATCACCATCCGTGGTCTAACAAAGGATTCCTCTCCTCGGTTTTGTGAAAATATGCAAAAAGGCTCCAAAAGTATGGAAATTAAATCATTCAGTTCTAAATTTATTGAAAGGAATAATAAATGAATAGAAACACAAAATTCAACAAAAATTTCTGTCAATTAGTATAATGTTTATAAACTACTGATGGCACATTTCCCCTTTCAAGTACGTTACATTCTAGCTCAAATGAACTACTTGCTTCATCTATTTGAAATTCTATCTCCAGTCTCATGGTCTTTATACGGTCTGTCTACACCCATACTTGGAATACGCTCCATTTTCACTTCTGCCTCCTAGAAACCCTAACTTCTTTCAGTTCTAGTAACATGTCTTACGTGAGGCCTTTCCTAATCCCTGACCCTTTTCTGTTATAGTTGTTAGTGCCCCTCAACTCTTAGTTTTCAGTTGCTTCTATGTGTACAATTTTATTTTTCTCTCTCAATAGACTGTAGGCCTCTGGAACACAGTAAACATAGTTAATGTTTGTTGACTGATAGAGTTGATTCTACTGATTCTTGTCTGAAGAACTTAACTTGGTCAGTAATTATTTAGTTCATCTTAATATTTTAAGGTATTAAACACATTAATAATTCACATTCATTTATTGGTTTAAGTTTATACCTTCCTCACGATCACCCTGCAAAGATGATATTCCCAAGTATAATTGGTCCCAAATTGCTAATGGGGATCAGATAGGGAAAGTCACCTTCTAGTAAAAATAAGATCCAGGAGTCAAACTCAAATCTCCTGATTCCAAGTGTGAAGCTTTTTACTTGGCAACCTGGTATAGTAAAAATGCATTGGCTCTGGAGGAACAGAAGCTGGGATGTGAGTCCAAGCTCTAGTACTTACTAGCTGTGTGACCTTAGCCTAGTCCCCTGACTTTTCTGGGCTTCTGTTTTCTCATTTGTAAGATAAGTTGTTGAATAAGACGACCTTCTAAGGTCCCTTCTAGCACTACATCTCTGTTTCTATTTCTTAAGCACCTATGGCATTGGCAATTTGATCCCCCAAAGATGGTGGAGGTTGAAAATATAAACAAAATAAAACAAAAAATTAGATCCTTTTTCAGATGATGGATTCCCTAATGAACATTCTGAAGGGAAACTGAGATGATTTGTGGATGTCCATATCATGAAAGACAATTGTAGCATTGTAGATTTAGAGCTGGAAAGGATCTTAGAGGCCATGAGTCCAACACTGTCATTCTACAGATGAGGAAACTGAGACTGAGAGAGAGAAGTTAAGTGACTTGTCTAGGGTCACACAATCTGAGACTGGATTTGAATTCAGGTCTTCCTGGCCCCAAGCCCAGAACTCTAGCCTTTCCCCCTCCTTGATGCCTCACATAACATGATGCCTGGAAAGAACATAGCATTGAGTGAGACTCTTTAAGTCTTGACTTGGCCCTTGTGACTTTAACTAAGTCACTTTCCCCCTCTGAGGTTGAGTTGCCTCAACTGTAAAAAATAATAACATACTTGCATTATCTTCCTCATAGGATGGTTATAAGGAAAGTGCTTTGTAAATGTTAAAGCAATATGTAAACGAGAGCTCTTATTAATTCAAATGCTCAAGCATCCATGATTTCCTTTGTGTGACTGACCTTCCACTGATGCAGATAGCCACCCATCTGCACTTTATGAGATGGCCTGTCTTCTGGAGTTGTTGTGGCTGAAATAATTATCACTTGATAGACAGCCTCCTAGTGAGCCATACCTTCAAACTTAGCTAGACATACAGTCTATGGTTGTCTCTGTATTAACAGCCTTCTAGCTGGTTGGGACTTGTCCCTTTGCCAAAACCTTTGGGAACACAGGATCATCTCCGTGCCCCAATGAGGCATTAGAGGAGATTCAGTAGAGGGAGCAATAATTACTTTTAGTATCACTACCAGAGACACAATCCTGAGTTTGAAGGGCCATGGTTATGCTCCTGCATGGCATTGCTTCTATTCTAAAGGCCGATTTAGTTAGTTTGTTAGTCGCATGTGAAACAGGTAGGGTGGCTCAGTGGATAGAGCACTGGTGCTACAGTAGAAAGACCTGAGTTCAAATCTAGCCTCAGACGTTTACTATCTGCGTGACCGCAGGCAAGTCACTTGAGAATCACTCTCTCACCCTCAGTTTTCTCTTAAGGGAGGTAATAAAGTACCTAATAGCACTTTTCTCCCAGAGTTATTATGAGGATAACACGGAATAATATTTGTGAATCACTTTGTAAACTTTAAAGTGTATATAAATGCTAGCTATTACGATTATTGTTATTACTATTAACAGGCCACTTGGATCAGTTCTTACAAGCCTTGGCCGATCCTCTTCTAGATATACTAGCTCCCACGAAGATGGCCAATACCCTGTCTGTGCTCATTAGACTGTGACCCAAGGCTGGTCCCTATATCTCCTTCCAGATGTACCCGCTCCAAATCTCTACCATCAATCTGCAATGTCTTGGTAGCTTCACTGGATCTAGAAGAGCCCCTATATCTAGGGGCACCCACCAATCCTGACTAGCATCAGTTGAGTAGAATTAACTCTGGATGATGAAGATCTGGGAATTTTAGTTTCATTGTTCTAGGAATTCCGACGGGGTAAAATAGTTCCAACCCATTCTCATGTAGACACTGGCCACATATAAGGGACTGAATACATCAGTTTCTATTTACTTTAGGTTTTTCCTTCCTGATGTGGATTGTGTGGGAAGTCAAATGTGATAGAGATTCAAGGTTTGAAAGCCATTCATCTAGAGCCAATGAAGGGCTCACAGATAACTCTAAGAGGGCTTAGTTAGCACAGTGCTGCACACATAGAAGGCACTGAAGAAATGCTTGTTGACTGACTATAGGAGTGTGAAAACACTACGAAGAACTCTCTGTACCTCTCATCAAGTGTGTGGCACTCCGGGTGCAAAGGATGGTGATAAATTTCATCTCATCAGTACCCCTTATCTTTTCTCCAGCTGCATACAGGTCCTAATGGCACAAATAACATTTATTTACAATGTGTTTAAGTCAATCTTGACAATATATACTTGTGAGAAAATCCAGAAACTGAAAGAGGAAAGTATTATGGTGGAGACCGTTTGAGTCAGAATCAATGGAGGGAGAACAGAAGTGATTTTGTTGCAGGAGTAAGTATTCTAGAAATGCTTGATTTGTTCCATGAATTAAAAATAAAATAATAAAAAAAAGGAATAAGTATTCTCCATGTGGCTCCAATGGGGCGAGCTTTTAAAAAGGGATCAGTGTGGATGCAGAGAGCACTCACTGGCCAGCTTATGCTTTTAAAAGCCATATCCAGAAGAGAGAAGCAAGGAAGGTGAGAAATAATGTGTAATAAAGAACAGTTGTGTAAAAATGGCACCAGGTGTGCTAAAGCTCTGAATGAATTGAGATTGGTGATGAATGTTAGGAACAACAAAAGAGGCTATTCTAAACTATGTTGTTGTTTTCTGCCATTTCAGTCATATCTGACTCTTCATGACCCCATTTGGGGTTTTCTTGGCAAAGATACTGGAATGGTTTGCTATTTCCTTCTCCAGCTCATTTGATAGATAAGGAACTGAGGCAAACAGGGTTAAGTGATTTGGCCAGTGTCACATAGCTAGTAAATATCTGAGGCTAGATTTGAACTCATGAAGATAAGTCTCCCTGATTCCAAGCCCAGCACTTTATGCACTATGGCGCCACCTAGCTGCCACTTATTTTAAACTGTGTTGGGAAGGATCAAAAAAGAACCAGGACTGCTTTTTGACTTGGATAGGACAATGATAATGGATGACAGAAAGAAGACAGAATAATAATTCATCTTTTTAGTCTTTTTTTCTGTTTTTTTTTCCCACAAAAGCCTCACTTCAGTGCCTCATTGTGGTGTGGAGGTGACCCTGCATTCTTAAAGGTTCTGCCATCAGTGTGCAAAGGAGGCAGTTCATTGAATTGAGAAAATTGGACTGGCCATCAGAAGACTTGGATTCTAGTTCTAGTTCTTTGATTGGGCAAATCATTTCCCCATCCATAGGCCTCATCTATAAAATAAGAGGGTTGGACTTTGTGACCTCTAAAATTCCTTCCTCCTTTAACACTCTCTGGTTCTAAGGATAATAATAAGAGATCTTTATGTATATTCTTGTAGACTGAGTCCTGTGGAGATTAAAAATTACAATAGTAAAGGACTAGAGGCAGCCTGATGTAGTAGTGGGCCAAGCCTCAGAGTCATAAGAGCTGGGTTCAAGTCCCACCTCTGACACATATGAGTTATGTGACCCTGGGCAAGTTCTATAACCTTTCAGAGCTCCAAGCGACTGTCTAAGATTTAAGATAGAGACTAGGTTTGGATGTCCATTGGTAGAGAGAATTTTCTTGAATGGGAATTTCCCTATAACCGTGAAATCACGGATTGGTCCAAACAAACAAAAATTGGAATAAATCAGCTATTTATCTTCAGATAACTCATGCTTTCACTTGTTTAACTGACAAGAAAGAGGTAGCTTTCTTCCACTTTCTTTCCCAAAGCATACCTCCAACTCCCTTGGTTTAGATATTTGAATGGAATGACAGAAAATTTGCTCCCAATTCAGTGACAGAAGAGGCCTTAACTGTAGACATTAGGATGTTTACTTCAAAGTGTTAGCCTGGGCCTAGAGGGGCAGAGTAGGCAAGAGAGGCAGTGACCTAGGACCCAACATTCATGGGATAAGATAACACACTTTGGAACAGTTATTTTTATAAATACGCATGTTTTAGATGCCAGAAAATTCCTTTCTCAGTGTCCTGTGTTTATTTTGAGATAATAGAATGATAGTTCAAATCCTCTAGGGGACAATGATATATAGGGGAACAACTTTATTTATTGGGGACTTTATTTCTTTTATTTTTCCCAAGAATTCCAAGTAGACAACATCATTCTAACCCCTACTCACAAAAACACTGATCAGACATAAAAAGGAGTTGAATACATTGGGTTCCAATTGCACTGGGGTCTGGTTCTAACATGGCTTTAATTTTCCAGGGCCTGGGTGAGAGGTGTTAGGTAAATGGAACATGGGGTGTGTGTGTGTGTGTGTGTGTGTTGTGTGTGTGTGTGTGTGTGTGTGTGTGTGTGTGAAGGGCATGGGGACATTTTTAATGTCTAGGGAAGGTAGAGCTCATGAATAGGGTGGACTAGATATCTTTTGAGGTTTCTTTCAGCTTATTTGGGCAAAATAAAATGATAAAAGCATTAAGGAAGCAATAAAATACCCAGAACAACACAGAAGGTGGTTCACAGGGAAACATAGACAAGTGGTAGAGCTTTGAAACTAACATTGCTAAATGTACTTAAAAAAATTCAAATTGTATGTAATAGAGGCTTGAACTTTTGTGTACAATGCTTTTTTTTTGTTCTTTGTATATCAAAATGCTCATATTTTCTGGTATTTGACAAATTCAGAATAATAAAAAATATATTTAATAATTAAAAAGTTTACCTGTGCATCCTGGAGTGCCAGTCCTGGATCCACAAAACCACTCACATCATCTCTGCTGCCCTGAGAGAGGAAAAAAAGTAGCTATATAAGGCAGTGCAATATCTCCCCACCCCCACTGATCAGACATGAGGCTGATGCTGAATCTTACATTCCTACCCTTGGCTGCCCGAGTAGTGAGTGGCAAAATAGGTCTGCACTTTTGTTCCATCCCCTTGACATGGGAATTATCAAAGGTTTTCTCTCTGCAGACCTATGTGACCCTGCTCTCCAATTCAGGGCTATCTCAAGGAATCAAGCTTGTGGACCCTTGCATGGTTGCCTTAGGGACCATTAGAAAAGCTCTTACTTGCAGAAGGCAGACCAGGATTCTCTCCAGGTATCCACTGGTGTCTGATTTAATATCTTCTTCCAGGTTGGAACCATATTCTGTAAGGCAGAAACTCAGGAGGGTTAATAATATTGGTTCAAATTTATATAGCACTTTAAAATGTAAATGTATTTAAAATTTAAAATGTAAAAGCATTTTTCCTGTGATGAAATGACCATGTGAGGTAGGCATACTTAGAGAAAATACCAGATTTAAAATGACTGGGAACTGAGTTATCATAGAGTTAGAGCAAGAAAGGATTGTAGAAGCCATTGAGACTAACTCTTTCATTTTACAGATGAGGAAATTGAGGCTGAGAAGTTAAGTGACTTGTCCAAAATCACACAGCTAGTAAATGTCTGAGACAACATTTGAATAAGTCATTTTAAAAATAAGGAAATTAAGCCTGGAGAAGTTAAGTGACTTGCTTAATGTCACAGAACTACTAAGAAAAAGAATTAAGATTTGAATCCAGGCCTTCTGACTCCAAATTCAGGTAGGATATTGAATGTGTTATACTGCTCATCATATTCTTGGCAGGCAGCAAAATCTTTCTGGTCACATCATAGTGTAATAGAGAAGGCCTTTAATATGGATTCATACACACATTTTCTCATTTCCAGATGCAAAGTCCATTGGATTTTCTATAAATATGATTTTGAGCAAGTCACATATCCTCTTTAACCTTCAGTGTTTCAATCTGTAAAATGAGAGACTTGGACTAGATGGTCTTTGAGGTCCCTTCCAGCCCTAGTTCTATGGTCCTGTGATGTCTCTACTACCATACTGAGCCCCAGCTCTTGGGGAGCTAGCTCATCACCTCATCACCCTTTCTATTCTTGCCATAGCCTGAAGATCGTCACATCTGAGGCTCTTGTTCACAACCCTCTTTTCTCATCAAAATTGGTCCATATAGCCCTACAGAGGCTACTTGTATTGTATTTCTGAATTCTATCAGACAAGCTTTCCCTAAGATTTGTCTATGGTTTCCATCTTAGTCAGTTCCCTTTCCTTTATAGGACAGTGGGGCAGAGAGCACAGGCTTTATCATTTGCACATGTCACAAGCTATTCCTCTGTATCTTATTAAACAAAAACAGTAGGAGGTAGCTAGGTGACTCAATGGATAGAGTGCTGGGCCTGGAGTCAGGAAGACCTAAATTCAAATCGGGCCTCAAACACTTACAAGCTGTGTGACCCTGGGCAAGTCACTTAACCTCTGCTTGCCTTAATATACTGGAAAAGGAAATGGCAAACCGCTTTGGTATCTTTGCAAAGAAAACCCCATGGACAATATGGTCCACTGGCTTATGAAGAGTTGTATCCAACTAAATGCCTAAACAACAACAACAAATCAATTTCTTATTAATTAATTTCTTAGTAATTCAAGGCAGTCCTTACATTCCCACTGCCCTGGTAGAGAATACCATTTTAAGTCTCAATTTTTTTCCTTCTAGAAAAACTTATTAATGAGAAAAATCAAGTAAGCACTGTAGAAAGACCATTTGAAAATACATAAATAGCCCCTAGCGGATATGAAATACAGTAATAAATATAAAGAACACTGGAGAGCAATGTGCAATTTACTTGGAAAAATGTAATTTCTCTAAAAAAAAAAAAGAAAAAATAGTCGGTGCAATACATGGTAAGCAGATTTGTTGCAAATAAAAAGAATATTGGTCTAGATGATTTCTAAAGTCTCTTCCAAGAGACAACATTCTATGCTTTTCTACTTATGTAAAATGTAGGTCAGGAAGTTCTTCTGATGTCAAGGTATTTTGCAAAGTTCCCAGGATTGGGAGGGCACTGCAGCTACCTCCTTTTTTGGAGATGTTTTGAGATGACTTCTAGAACACTAGGCAGTGTCATACAAATCCTCACTCATATCCCCAAAGTGTCTTACATTCTGATAGTGGATGGGCACTCCATCTCTCCATACCTTTGTCTCCATTGCTACTAAGCCTGCTAACTGGCAAATTCCCTTCAGTAATTGCCGTATGAATCCTTTATATGATATGCCAAAGACATAGCCACGATGATTCTTACCTTCCTCGTAAGCTCTCATGATTTCCTGAAGTTGGGTCTTGGTCCGAGATGCCAAGATCTCAATGATGACACCTTCTTTGGTTCCTATGCCCTGGGAAGAGAAAGAAATTCCATATAAGAGTAACTTCGCGCAAATAAAATGTATGTCAGCCTTTAGTCAGACTGTGAGGGTAATGTAAGAGACGGTTTCTTAGGAGAATGTTGTGCATGAGTAGATTTCAATGAGTCAGAATTGTGTGTCTGTATGTGTGTGTGTTTTCAGATTTAATGTGTTGCTTGGGTCTGACAAATTAAAGTGTGTTTTTTTTGCATTTATGTCTGCCACAATGTTAGTAACTTTATAATGTATATTGTTTGAAAACAAGAGACAGCATCAATCCTTCTCCATCTCATGGCAAACATGAACTAGACGTCTGCTATGGAGGATGCAGAAGGTTAAACATTCATCTTCCTCATTTAGAGTTGAAGCCCGAGGCAGTGTCTGGACCGGCAGCATTTTGGCTGTCACTTGACAGGCCTTTACTGCTGCTTCAGTTACCTTCATGGCATCATGTAATTCCTTAGCTTCATATTTGTATGGTGGGTACATGAGGGCTGTGATGAGTCGCTCAAACTTGCCACTCAGTTCAGATTTCAAGGTCTCAGTCAGATCCTAGTGTAAAGAGAGAGCAAAAAGATGCTTCATCAGAGACAACCTGGCTCAGAAATTTCTTTGTCATTGCCAGTGTTTAGAAAGGACATTGCTAGTTCATCCTCTTTCTTCTCTCTTCTCAGGACCATATTGCCTAGATGCCTCTCTAGTTCAAATGTTCTATTTAGGGGGAACACATGGCAATCACTAATGTTAGCTCAACAGAAGTGGACAGAGCACCATTTAACATCCAACTTTGTCAGCTAGTTTGGTGGCACTCAAGTTTTGCCGTCTAGTGGCTCTTCTCCAATCCTCCTGAGTGCTTCTTCACCCTCCTATGCTCTGTATTACTTCTTCATCCAACAAATGTGAGTCAGCCTTTTTCTCTTGGGGACTTCCCCCGATGGAATAGTCCTGGATCACTCTACAAAAGGAACTTGAGACTGCAGCAAATCAGAAAGCAAGGCAGGCAGGGAGGGAATGAATTCGGAGGGAAGCAGAATCAGAACGCTAAACCTTGTTGTACAGATGGTGGTTTCTCACAACACTACCTCCAGAGCAGATATTTAAACGGAGGGGGCTGGGTTGAGTAATGGATAGGGTGCTCAACTTGGAGTGCTTGAATCCTGTCTCAAAGGCTTACTCTCTGAGTGGCCCTGGGCAAGTCCCTTAATCTCTCTTAGTCTCAGTTTCTTTATCTCTAAAATGGGAATAATAAGAGCACCTATCCCTCAGGGTTGTTGTGAGGATCAAATGCATCTAATGTACTTTGCAAACCTTAAAGCTCTGTGTCAGTGTTAGTTATTATTAATCCCCACAGGACCCCTGGAATTCCACTCAGTGGCAGAGGAGAAAGTCTTGTGGCTAGTTTGGGGGATCCTTGCACCATAGGGACTGCTGATGTTACATGTTGTTTGCTCTGAGGTGTATCAGTAAGACCATCTTCCCTTCCTCTGCTTCAGCTGAGACAGAAAATGAGAAACATCTATTTTCTTCAAGTCTGAGATAGGCCTACATCATAAACATTAACTAAATCTTTTTTTTTTTTGGTCCAAGAAACATGTCTGTAATTATAGATTTAGTGAGAAGTGACTGTTTTAGTCTTAAGAGGTGGGGCTTGAATTCATGTCCTCCTATCTCCCAGGCTGGATCTCTAAGGGGCAGCAAAGTTGTACAGTGGATAGATTGAGTCAGAAGGGCCTGGGTTCAAATCTGGCCTTTAGACATTTACTAGCTACGTGACCTTGGGCAAGTCACTTAACCCTGTTTGCCTCGGTTTCCTCATCTGTAAAATCAGCTGGAGAAGGAAGTGGCAAATCACTCCAGCACCTTTGCCAAGAAAATCCCAAATGGGGTCACAAAGAGTTAGACATGACTAAAAGTACTGCACTACATTTGGGCCATTAGCCTTACTAGCAGAGTCCAAGATTATGAACTCTCCTAGTACATTCCTTGAGATACAGGAGACTGTGCATGATCTGGATATAGCAACGTCCTTTCTGAGGTTTCTGACCTATTTCCTCCACTAATCATAATAATAATTTACACTTTAATATTAATTATTAAGATTAATAATTAGCATTTTAAGATGTGCAAAGCTTTGTGTATAATAATAATAATAGTTTTAGTAGCTAGCATTTATTTAGTGTTTTCAGATTTGCAAGGAGTTTTACAATTATTATCTCATTTTATCCTTACAACAACCCTGGGAGTTTGATGTTATTATTATCCCCATTTTACAGATGAGGAAACTGAGACAGGCAGTCACACAGCTAGTAAGTATCTGAGGTCAGATTTGAACTCAGCTCTTCCTGAACTCAGGGCCAGAGCTGGTAAAAAGCAGTTATTGTTTCCATTTTATATACTTAGAGCTGGAGGCTGTAGACATAATCATATCTGACTTGGCTCCCCTTGTTTTAACACAGAGCTGTGCTACCCAAGTGGGTAACCAGGCAATTTGGTATAATAATAATAATAATAATATTTCTGTAGCACTTTAAGGTTTGCAAATTTTGTCTGATTTGCTCTCCACAACAACCCTGGGAAGTAGGTACTATTATTATCCCCATTTTACAGATTAGGAAACTGAGGCAGACAGAAGTTAAATGACTTGCCCAGGGTCACATAGCTAATAAGTGTCTAAAGCCATATTTGGGCTCAGGTCTCTCTAGACATCAAGTGCAGCACCGGTACTGCTTTCCTGGGCTGGCAAGAGAAGTGAGATTTGTAGTTTGGTCAGGCCATGTGGTGCCCTTTCTTTACCTTTCCATACCGAGACTTGTATGCTTTGGCGATCTGTTGGCGTTGTGCATTGCTCCTCTTGGTGAGGACGTCAATGATGGCCTGCTCATTGGTTCCTGTTGAGGACACGTAAAGTTTGTTTAACACGAGGCAACCGATGTTTGGAAGCAGAGCCTCCTAAGCTGATGCCTGCCATACCAACTACCTGAATAACCTGGGAGACATTGCCTAGGGGCAAACAGCTGCATCTTTGCAGTCTTCTGAATAAATCATTCAGAACCACCAGCCATTCGGGAGGTTTATTGGCGTGGCCTTGACTCTCAGCTGCAGAATGCCAAGGACTGGACAATCCTATGAGTAATCCTTTAGATTAGAACTTAGCTCAGATACCACCTCCTGCATGAGGCCTTTCTGGACAACTCCCCTACTAATATATATATATATATAGTATATGTTTTTTCTATGCTTATAGACATACATGTTATCTTCTCTGATATATTGTAAGTTCCTTGAGGTCTGAGGCTACTTCATTTTTGTCTTTGTATTACTCTCAGCACTGAACGCAGAACCTGGTACAAAGTAGGCACTTAATAAATGCTTATTAATTCATCAATTGATTTGTCCCCACATCTCTAGTTAAGGCTACTGCAAAATCAGCTTGGAGCAGCTAGTCCTGATTTTTAAAGACCTCCTTCAGACTCATGTTACTCTAATCATATCAGGAAAGGAGAAAAGGTCCCTGGATCTATCAGAAATGGGTGCTCTGTACAAAGAAAATTGGTTTCAGAATGAGAAGACCTGCTCAGCTCTCCTCGTTTACTAGTCGTGAGTTCAAAGGCAAGACATTTAACTTCTCTGAGATTCAGTTTCTTCACCTGTAAAATGGGAATAATAATAGTTATACTACCTATAAAATTCAAAACTAGGAAAGAACTTAGAGGTTGTGTGGTTCAACTCTTTTGTTTTGTACATGAAGAAACCAAGAGGAAGTGCCTTGCTCAAGAGTCAGACAGCTAGGTCATGGTAGAGATGGGACTACAATCTGTGTCTCCTTTTTCTCAGACCACTGGTCTTTCCCATGCACCAGGCTGTGATTCTTCTGCCTCTAAGGGTTATGAGAAAAGAATCTTGCTGACCTAAAAGTATCAGCTATTATCATCAGCCCTTTCTCCTGAAATCACTATCTTCTGTGCTGCCTAGAAACTTAGAGTTTGAGTGAAGTCTCTATCATGTAAGACCAGTGTGAGTGTGAGTCACTTAAGACCTCTGGGCCTTGGTCTCCTCCTCCATCCCTTTGAGCTCCAGATCTATTATTCTACGACCATCTCAGACAAATGCCTTTGCCTTACTCGGAGATGAGAAAAAGACATTTCAGATGATTTCAGACGTCTCACAAAAGCAGAGAGTCTAATATGTTATTAAAAGGCAGAAAGTAAGATGAGCTGCCTGGAATTTAGCACGATACCATCAAGCCTACCTTGACCCAAGGTCCTTATTGTGGGTGTGCCTATTTGCTTGCTTAAAAGTCTTGGGAGAAGGCCACAGCTAACTGTTTCTAACTGTTTCTACTTCCAAACTGCTCAACACTCATGGTGAATACAGATATAGATATGGATATAAAATATGTGTGTATATGTATATGTGTGCATGTTTATATCGACACATGTCGGTGTACACGTACATATTCACACACATGTGCACATAAGCACATGTACATACGTATATGCACATTACCTGCATCCATATGTGTGTATGTACATGTGTATGTGTGTATATAATTATGTATATGTATATGTGTATATATATATGTATAGCTATATATGTACATGTGTACAGGTATATATGTGAATTGAGAACAATGATTATTAATAATCAATAATTTTGGCTAAGAATTGGAAATCAAAGGGATGCCCATCAATTGAGGAACAGCTAAACAGGCTGTGATATGTGATTGTAATGGAATATTATTGTGCTATAAGCAGGATGATTTCAGAAAAACTTGGAAAGACTTACATGAACTGATATATAGTGAAGTGAAAAGAACCAGAAGAACAGTAACAGCAATATTGTTCTATGAAGAATTGTGAATGACTTAGCTATTCTCAGCAATACAATGATCCAAGACAATCCCAAAGGACTCATGATGAAGCATACTATCACCTACAGGGAAAGAACTAATGTTGATTGAATACAGGCTGAAGCATGCTATTTTTCAATTTCTTTCTTTGATTTTTTCTTTTATTCTCTCCTTTTATTCTTTTATTTAGTCTTCTTGCATAAAATGACTACTATGGAAATATTTTACCTAGTTGCACATGTATAACCTATATTTAATTACTTTCCATCTTGGAGTGGGAGGGGGAGGGAAGGATAGAATTTGGAACTCAAAACTTTAAATAAAAATGTTTTAAAAATAACCAATAATTTAGGGAGATACAGATTTCTCCCTTTCTTCTAAAGTTCTGATTTTAAAAAAGTAAAAAGTTCAGTCTCTTGAAGGACATTACTGATAAAGAGATTGAATTAACTCTCCTTACTCTTGGTCAGACTCCACCCAAATTTACAAGGAATTTAATCTAAGATGGGAAAGCCTATTGTGTTTTACTAAGGTTTGAGTGGAGATAAATTCTTTTACTAGATAGCCCAAAGCTGAGGGTGGTCTAAGTATGGAGATAAGATCCTCCATACAAGGGTGACATGATGTCATTCTCAGCCCTTATTTTAATATAGACCACCTCCCATTGTGTTAACCAATCAGAGTTGATGCTACTCCTCTTCTAAAAGAACATATAAGCCCTGAGCCCGCCACCATGATGGACTTTGGTTTAAGAACGATGGCCAAATGACCATTTTTTTTTTATTAATGATGTGCTGGCCTTATTAATAAAATGATTAAATTACCCAGAAACTATGTCTCTTAAACCTTTTAAATCTTTTTAATTGTCACATTATGTGTGTATATACACACATGCATACATATACACATGTACATAGATGCATACATGTACACACACGTATGTATGCCCCCCCCCATAAGTTTATATTAATCTTTTCATTTGAACCCAGCCTGACACAGTAATTGTTTGTTGCTGATTTGGTCAAAACCTGTGATTTCATTCTTGTATTGAGCTCCAGAGTGAGGAAACTCTTGATCAATACAGATCTACAACTGCCCTGCAATTTTTAATCTTAGAAACTTGCCTAAGAGCGCTGAGAGACAAAACTCCTTGCCCAGAATTACCCAGTCAGTATGAGGAAAGCCTGGGTTTAAATCCACACCTTCCTCAGTTCTTCATCTAAGGTTGGTTCTCTATTTCTTTGAAAACAAATAAAAACAATTAAAATGACCTTAAAATAATTTTTCAAAAGGAGGTCTGGGTAGGTTGACAACTTACCAATTCCTTTCATGGCCTTGTACAGTGTTTCAGCATCAGGGTCAGGGTTAAAGTGAGGGCTGCCCTTCACAGTGATAACTTCTTGCTCAACCTGAAGGGGCAAAAACGCTCCATCATTTCTGGTGACAGCCAGAGCAACCCTACCATCAGGACCTATATCTTTGAGGTGCTTGGTTCAGTATCTAGTATGCTCAAGGGCATTCAATAAACGGGGAATCTGCAAGTCACAGTCATTTTGGGAACATTCTCAAGACTACTTTCAGGAAAGAGAGGACTTGAATTAATTTTCCTTTCTTACTTTTTCACAGAGTTGCTGCCTTTCATACTCAAATCAACAAGGATTTATTAAATATCTACTAAGCACCAGTCACCACAGCCAGGGGTTGGGGACAGAAAGACAAAAGAGAGACTGGTGCTGGCTCACAAGGAGTTTCCATTCTACTTGCAGAGAGGATTGCTGTCTTTTCAGTCCTCCTCCAGTTTCCTCCTCCACTCCCCCCATCCCCATCTCCCTGCTCCTTTGGACCTCATATAGTATTTTGTTCTGCAACTTTAATGTACTTAGGAGGTAATACCATGTATTATGGTTCTCTGTGTTTGTGTCTTACCCTGCTACTAGACCGAAAGCTTCCAGAAGGCAGGGACCATATCTTAGCTCAGCTTTGCAGCTCTTCCAGCATATAACACAGTGTGCAACTTAGGTACTTAATAAGTGTTGAATGGATGGTCTAAATAGCAACTCCCTTCATACTTCATTTACCTTCTGGTTGATGAAATGATGTTCCAGGGAAGTGAATTGCTTAAGTACTAAGATAATGGAGGCAGCTGAGTGGCGTAGTGGATAAAGCACTGGGTTTGGAATCAGGAAGACTCATCTTCGTGAGTTCAAATATGGCCTCAGACACTTACTAGCAGTGTGACCCTGGTCACTTAACCCTATTTACCTCACTTTCCTCACGTGTAAAATGATCTGGAGAAGCAAATGGCAAACCACTCCAGTATCTTTGCCAAGAAAACCCCAAATGGGGTCATGAAGAGTCAGATGACTCAACAAGACAATGGAAAGACCTGCCTACCTAAAGTTATAACTAGTTGAGCATGATCTCAGCTTTTTGCATGTGAAAAGAGTGACATAGTGACATTCCTCTCAGTCCTAAAAGGAAAAAAAAAGTTTCCCAGATAATCCATAGCATCTATGGTTGAAATTTTGGGAGTCATTTCAGGGTCTCAAAGAAATTAATTTGCAGGTAACACCAAATTCTTTTCCAGGCTAATAATAATAATAATAGGAGCATTTACATAGCACTTTAAAGTCTGCAAAGTGCTTTACAAATATTACCTAATTTTGTCCTCACAACCACTCTAGGAGGTAGGTGTTATTATTATCACCCCTCCATTTTACAAATGGGGAAACCAAGGTGCAGGCTGAGTGACTTGCCTAGGGTTACACAGTAAGTATCTGAGGCTGGATTGGATTCAAGTTTTCCTGAATCCAGGTCCAGCTCATCCAACCTTCCAAGGAGTATCTTAAATTCCAACGCTTTAATTTGGGGCTGTTTCTCAGATGTTTGTATTTCATCTTCTTGATATGATCACTTATTACATGTTGTTTAGCACCTGTTACTGTACCCTGTCCCCGTCACCTAGCAGGGTGCTACAGATCATCTTGACCTCCTGTACACTGATACTCTCCAAATGGACCAACACCCTTGTGGCAATAACGGTGGGGCTAGCAGAGGGCCGTCTGGGAGCAGAGCAGGGACTATCCTTAGGCACAATCCTGGTCATGTTATTCCACTGCTCAAAATCTTGCAGCAGCTCCCCAGTGCTTACAAAATCAAGGCCAAATTCTTTAGACCGGCATTCAACGCTATCCATAACCTGGCTGCAGCCCATTTTTCTTGCCTTACCTCCCACCACTCCCCATTTATATTACTGTAATTTCCAGCCAGACTGAACTCACTGTTCTATGAATCTGTCTCTCACATTCCCACTTCTGTGTCTCTTGTCATTCTCTTCTCTATATTTGGACTCCCCCTCTCTTCCACAGCACATATCTCCTTCTGTTCAAGTTTTATTCTTCTTTAGAAGTCTGTATCAATTGCCATCCTGTTCACAAAGCATTTTTTTTTGACAGGACCAATTTGTTCACTGGCACGAGGAACCCCCTTTTCCAGTACAGATTAATACCTGCTCTGTGACAAAAAGTCTTGGAGCTGCCTGGGGACCCTGAGAAGTTAAGTGATTTGTTCAGGGTCACATAGCCAATATGTGTCAGAGGCAGAATTTGAACCCAAGTCTGCCCTGATTCCTAGGCTGGCTCCCTACATACCATCATGGAGCCCTCTCTGGTGCTGTCCGGTCAGAAATGTTCCAAACTTCTTAGCAGTTTTCATAGACCACGGTAAGTATACAAAAAAGGCATAAACAATGTGATATTTCCATTATAATTGTTTGTCTAAGTGCTTTGTCTAACCTGCTAGACTGTAAGTACCTTGAGGACAGTCTCTATCTTATTCTTCTCTGTTTCTTACGCAGCTCCTGGTCCAATAGCTTGCATTTAGTTTTGTTGTTGTTCAGTTATTTCAATTGTGTTTGACTCTTTGTGACCTCGTTTGGGGTTTTCTTGGCAAGGATATTTGAGTGGTTTGAAATTTCTTCATCAGCTAATTTTACAGATGAGGAAACTGAGGCAAACAGGGTTAAGTGACTTGTCCAGGGTCACACAGCTAATAAGTATCTGAGGCTGGATTTGAACTCAGGTCTTCTTGACTCCAGGCCCAGAGCTCTGATTCACTGAGCCACCTAGCTGCCTTGCATTTAGTAGGTGCTTAATAAATATTTGATAGATTTAATTGTTTTTTGACTCCAAGTTTAAGGATAAATTGTCAAGGATAAATTGGGAGAAATGGTCTTTAAAGTGGCAGGTATGAAGTCCTGTTGGAAATTGGGCTAGAGCCATCATTCCACCAAGAGAGACCCTGTTTTATACAGCATCTTGGCAGAAAGGGAGCCCACTTGTATATGTTATTTAGTACTGGGTCTAGGAATAAACCTTGTTTTATTGAAAACCACTGTACCTTGCTTTGTTTTTTATATGGTTTTTAGAGCGCTTTCACACATATTATCTCATTTCTACCCTTACAATAACTTTGTTCAATAGGCAAAGCAGGTACTTTCAGTAACAGATAAAGAGGCTCAGAGACAATATAGGTGACCTACTCAAGGTTCAATGCCTAGCATAGACTAGAACTGAAACCTGTCACCTGACATCGGCTCCAGAGGGCTAGAGATGATCCATCTGGAGAGTTCTGCACTCATCTGTCTTGCTTATTATTCTCTGCTGTAAGAGTAGGAGAGTGTGTGCGTGCGTGTGTGTGTGTGTGTGTGCGTGTGTGCGCGTGCGCGTGTATGTAGGCTTGTGTGTCTCCACTAGTGGTGGTGGGTCAATGGAGTAGGGGTAGGGTGCGTACAAGTGTAAAAGTGGTTTGCTGATGGCCCATGGAATGTTGTGTGTTTGTGTGTGTGTGCATCAGTGAGGTGGCTGGGTGCCATTTGGGGTGGCATGCATGATGGGTGTGGTTCCATGGAACGTTTGGGGTGTGTCAGTGTGCTTTGTGTCTGTTATAGAGAGGAAGGGATGGGAACAGAGTCAGTGTAGTACCGTGTTCCTCCCACCTTACTTCCCTTCCACAAAGATTGCCCAAGAACTCTATCTCAGAAAGGTGTTCCTGCCACTCCCTGTTTCCTTTACCCTGAGGAATGTAGACTGGCCCACAATCCTTTTCTGTACCCAGTCTGGGAAAGGGCTAGTAGGGTGGGGTTTTCCTTTATCTCATTCAAAATAGAAGGACCGTTGTAGAGCCTTTCTTGGGTTTCTGGCCAGTGCAGAGCCGCTGTGCTGGCATTCACTGGTCTGGAGGTTGGAGGGTAGGGACTGAGGCTAATGACGTTTTAAGCTCCCTTAGAGATCTTTGAGGTTAATATTAAAAAGACTTTGAGGCTGGGGGTGGGGTGAGGCAGGAATCTGGAATTTACAAAGAGAAGTGTGATTTAACAGACCCAAACGGAGAGCTCCCAATTTTTCATCCCCATTGTGCTAAATAGTTTTTCCATAAAACCTCTTAGTCTTTTATATAAATCAACTACCTAAAGATAGTAATAGACAGAGGCACTAGTAATTTCCCAAGGTTTTAGAGGCTTATCCAAGCAGAACTGTTTTATAGAATAAATATGACTCAGCCGAGCATGTTTGCACACATTAACGAAGTCTCTAATAATCATCACAAAGGAGATCACCTGCTTTTTTGTCTTTCCTCATTAAGTGAATATGAGCTAGTAAAAAACTACCTAAACCACCTAACAAAGCTGCAGTGGGAAGAATAAGAAAGATATGAGGGTGGAACAGAGAGGGAGAAGGAAGGAGGGAGGGAAGGAGAGGGAGAGAGGAAAGCAGGGAGAGAAATAAAGAGAGAGAGAGAGAGAGAGAGAGAGAGAGAAGAGAGAGAGAGAGAGAGAGAGAGAGAGAGAGAGACAGAGAGAGAGAAAGAGAGGGAGAGACAGAGAGAGAGACAGAGAGAGACACACACAGAGAGAGACTCTTAAATAAGAAGGAAATTCAGGTTCTGGCATGAACTTCCAATATGTGCTGTGCCCAGAGAAAACATAGGTCAGTAATTTTGGAGTCTGTTTCTCAAATCCTGATTCTGACGCTTATTACCTAGGAGACCCTGGGCAAGTCACTTCAACTTACTTAGCCACATTTTCCTCACCTGCAAAATCAATGAGGGGGTTGGATCAGATAATTTCTAAGATCCTTTCTAGCTCTATCCCAGCCTTTCTTCTGACCTACACAGATCCTTTCTATAACCAGGGGTACTTAGCAGACCTCTGTGTCCAGGGAAAATTTAGTCTTGGAACTGAACAGATGATTTCACCAGTGAGGTAATGCCCTGGGCTAATGCAGATCAACGCCTCATTTTCCATTTAGAGTCTTAGCAAGTTGCCTGGGAGACATTGAGAGATTAAAGGTCTTAACCAACTTGCCCAGCTAGGGTCATTCAGCCAGTATGAGTCAAAGGTGGGATTTGAACCCAGCCCTTCCTGCCTGCATGGCTTACTCTTTATTCCCTAGCCTCTTCTGTCTCTCAAGCAGCAAAAAGTCCAAGTCCCAGTCCCAGCTGCTTGGCTTTCTACATCAACCTCTCTGAGACTCATTTTCTTTATCTGACAAGCAAGGCATCATGAGTTGAGATCTGGAAGAGACTTTAGAGGTACAATCCCCTCATTTTACAGATGAGAAAACTGAGGCTCAGAGAGACTTAATGACTTGCTTGGGGTCTTACAAAACTTATACTGCTACCTGCCTTACAGGGGTTGGTTGGAGCATTCAGTGAGACAACATTAAGTACAGAGCTTTGCAGCCATAAAACTTAATACAAAAATGACCTATTATTTAAATTACAGCCTCTTGGTCTGTGTGAGCCTTTCTTAAAAAAGAGGCATAGCCTTTTGTCTAGATAACCTCTGGAGCTAATGTCTGGCTCAGCTCACAATAACCTAACAGATTTTAGGCAAGATGATGCTGGCTACTGGAAGAAATGGAAGATCAGAACAATTTTCATTGCAGATCTCTTTTCCAGGTGGTCAAATTGATTCTTTTAATCCAAGGTTTCTTGACATTTTTTGTGTCTTGGACCCCTTTGGCAATCTGGGGGAGCCTGTGGACTTATTCTCAGATGAATATTTTTAATGCAAAAAATAAAAATACATAGAAATACAAAGGAAACCAATTATAATGAAATAAAAATTTCACAATATTAAAAAAAAAGTTTCTGGACCTGAGGTTAAGAATTCCTGCTTTTGATAAACAAGTCGTCAGGGACTTAGGGGCCATATGGGACATTCAGCTTCACCCTATTTCCTGTTTCACCCCTAGCTATAGAAAAAAAAATTGAGCACAAGGTGACTGGGCAAGAGGACAAGAATCGCTCAGCACAAATCCATCCCCACAGATAGAAAGCCAACTCCATTCTTATTTCTTTCTGTTTATGTGGTAGCTGATATAAAAAAATGCTAAACCCTCTATTTTCTGTTTTCTTGGGAATTCAAGGAGTCCTTATTAGATTCTACTGAAGCCATTTTCACACCAGCATTTTATTGACTTACCCAAGCTTTCCACCAGGCCATCGTCTTCAGTCCAGTGCCCCTTTCCCTAGTGAAGTGGAGGAGAAAAATACAAAATAGCATTGTCTAGACTGTAGCTGCATACTTTTAGGATTATGGCACATATGTAGGATAAATAGAAAGACACCCCCCCCCCATCCCCATCCCTACCCTTCCTTCTACCAACCTACCAGTAGGAAAAAATAAATCTGTCTTAAAGGGTTGGTTTCTTTGGACTTTGGTCACTCAGGATGGTAATCGGCTAACCAGCTCTTTTCCTGTCTGGAATAGGCAGCTTCTTTCTATATTCTCCCAGGGCCACACCCTTCAACCGGGCTGGGCCTGTTTCTCAGAAATGACTTCACTGCCAAATAATTGTCCCAGTTTGAAAAACCCACAGCTCTAAGCCAGGTAATCCAACAGTAGCTATTGGGAAATGTTCCTATTTAGAATGGAGCCCCGGAGAAGAAAGGGAGAGCAGAGATTGCCTAAATCCAACTCTTTGTGATACAAATCAAGAAACTGCCACCCAGAATGAAAGACCAAAATTCACCTCTGGGGTGGTTCTAAAACCATATTTTGCTATTTTATCAATGAGAGATAGAAACAAATCTAGGTCTTACAGATAGAGCTGAAGGGAGTTATGAAATTAACAAATACTTGTCGAGTACCTCCTATATGCACAGCATTATAATGTAGGGGAATTCAAAAGAAATGTTAAGATATGGACTCTGTTCCTCAGGAGTTTTCAGTCTAATGGGGAGGGGTGGTGGTGGAACCATACAATTCATGAATTGACATTATTATACACCTGAAATGATGTGAAAAGAGTGACAGCAATGTAGTGATCAGTGCCAAACAATGTATGGGTGTTGGAGTGGAAAGAATGCTGATTTTGGAATCAGAAGACTTGGGTCTGTTTCAGCTAGTTGTGTGACTGTGGGCAAGTCATTCAACATTTTTGAGGCTCAGATTTGTCATCTACAGGATGGGAATAATGTTTTTTGCTCTGCTTACCTCACTGGTCATTTTGAAGATCAGATAATTTAACAATGTATAACGCCCTTTGCTGCTATAACCATGTAGGTTGTTACTAGCTAGCTGCTTAGGAATGGGATAGTCTAGTTATTTTAATTTTCTGGTCAACTAAGATTTAATGACATTCTTCTCTCAACCCATGTTTCAACCAACGCTTGTTGTTGGAAGGCCACACCCTCCACTGGGAGTTTAAGGGTTAGGCTTATAGTTTACAGTCTTGATTTAAGAGTTAAGTTTGTGTTCACTTTTCAGGTTTTCTCTCTACCCACAGAACATTTGTACAGCCTTCATTTGTGCCTTGGGGATATATAAAGAAGGGAGCAGGACACTTCCTTTTCCATGAATGGAGTTAGCTTATTTTCTGGGGGCTGGTGAGAGGCAGACCATCAGGCAGGTTCCCATCTTTCCCTGGTCTAGTGGTCTTTGTCCCTAGCAGCCTTCCTAGCTCAATTTCTGTTTGTGTAGGGAAGAGGACAGATAGATAAAGAATTTATTTGGTGTGTACTATGGGCCAGGCATTGTGCTAAGTGCCAGTAATACAAATATAAGCAGGCCGAATTGTCACTGTGAACAAGGTTACATTGTAATGAGGAAAAGCAACGCATAAAGAGAAAATGGAAAAGGGAAGGGGAGTGAAAGTGGTGGCGGCATGATAGAGCAATGGCCCCTAAATGGCTTGGGGAACTGGCCACAGGTGAGAAAATATTAAAAAGGCTAAAGCTTACCAATCAGAGCCCAATATCCCAGAAAGGGAGTCTAAGATTATTGGAGTAAGGTTACAGAGTTTGAGAGTTTAAGTCTTCATATTTAGCATTCAAGAAGCCTAGTTACTAGAGAAGGGAGGGTTAGAGAGATGGTTTTGTGGATGAGATGGAAATCCTTTCAAAGTATCATGTTAGAGCTAGAAGAAGGCCGCTAGGTGATGCAGTAGATGGAGTGTCAGGCCTGGAGTCAGGAAGACTCCTCTTCCTGAGTTCGAATCTAGCCTCAGACACTTAGTAGCGGTGCCACCCTGGGCAAGTCACTTGGCCCTGTTTGCCTCAGTTTTCTTACCCGTTAAATAAGCTGGAGGAGGAAATGGCAAACCACTCCAGTATTTCTGCCAAGAAAACCCCAAATGGGGTCATGAAGAGTGAGACGCAGATGAACAAGAACAATAAGGGACTTTAGGGTTCATGTGGGGTGGGGGTGGGGAACCTGCAGCCTCGAGGCCATGTATGGCCCTCTAGGTCCTCATAAAACTGAAGCTTCTTTGAGTGGTCTGGGTCTTTTACATTCTTTAGGATCTGGGAGGAATAGCTTTCTTGAGGTCTTTTTCCTGAGAACCTAGATCTATTACTTGGCCTCTAGCAGCCATTTCCTCAATAGTGGCAAAACCAATCCTTTAAGGATGGTCTGAAACAACATTGACTTAATTTCCTCACCTCCACCACCCCCATGAATCTTTTTTTTTTTTTTAACCAGTAAAGACACTAATCCTAAGGCATTTCCTCACACTGACCCCTAGGAGCTCTCTCTTGGAAGCTACTAAGTACAATAACACCTTCTGGGAACAGATTTTTTTACAATTCAATTAAATAAGCATTTATTAAGTGCCAAGCTATAGGCTTGGCATCTCAAGTGGCCTGGATGGTGACTCAGCAACATTTATTTGCCCAGATGAATAATTGGTAATGCTAATGAGACCCTTTGCCCTTCAAGATTCATGAGAAAATACCTTTTTCCTCTTATGCAGGGCAGGATGGCTTTGCCTAAGGATCTGCCATTTACTAGGCTGCTTCTTGTGTCTCTAAATAGAATTCTGAAATATAAACCTCCTTATTTTGCAGTTAGCCTATCTGTGGCTCCATTCAATTCAGTTGATATTGTATTGGTGGGTCCAGGACGAGATAGGAAGTCATGGTCTAATGAGATTTTTGACAAAACTTTCCTCCTTTGCTAGGTCAGCCCTGAAAAATCAACATTTATTTTTTCTGTATATGAAAACAAATGTTGGCAGGCCAAGACTAACATTCATTACTTGGTGATTTATTTCTTTTATTTCACAGATGCTAGAATGACAGTGGATAGAATGTTGGACTTGGAATCAGGAAGACTTGGATTCAAATCTTGACTCCTACTTACCAGCTGAGTGGCCAGGGAAAAGTCATTCACCCCCTCTGAGCCTCATACAACTTTCTAGGACTTAGCTATTTATCTACATGAAAGCAGATGCATTACTATCATCTTTAGCTATATGTTGTCTCCCCATTAGAATGTGTGAGATCCTAGACAAGGGCTATCTTACTATGCTTTGTGTATCTCCTTCCTTTAACACAGTGCTTTGCATCTACTAAACACATAACAAATGATTTTTCATTCATTCATTCCTTCATTCAGAGATAGGTTGCAACCTGCCTTAGTTGAAGGTGCTTCCACACTTGCAGCTCCTTAGTTTTATGTCTTTTCTTGCCACTCTAAACAAAAGTAGGAAACTCCCAAGTCTCCAGGGAATTTTTTCAGTGTAAATGAGAAATTCTTCATCTTTTTTTTTTTAACATACTATTGTCAACCTTCCCTTCAGCTTGCCTAATTTTTAACATTTGCAAGAGTATCACATTCCAGGCTAACATTGCTTTGTGGAATTTATCAATATGACTCAGAATTCCATGTCAGGTTACCTGGGCACACAAAAATAGAATTTCTGTTTGGCAAAAAAGACTTTGGACCATGTGAATCATTTCTGAATTTGCTGATGTACTTATGACACTTATTGAGACCTTGAAGATGACTTTTATGGGGAATTCAATGCTTTTATAGCACTTGCTTTAGAAGACAAGGATGTTTTTCAGAGATGGCTGCCATGTGCTCATTAACACTTCCCAATGCCTGGGAGAGCCTGCCATTTTTTTTCTTTTTACTATTTCAAAAAATCCCACAGCTCTATTATTCAGAGAAACTTCATTTGCTCCTAAAAGATTAAGACTGTATGCTATATAAAGCACAGATCTGGCAAATCCATTTTCCTGAAACATGCTGGATATACTTTCTTGTACTTACTTACCATTTTAACCATTCTGTTGGCATAGTCTTGGCCTCTTTCATTTCTTGGGATGCAGAGTAAAGAGTATTGGACTTGAAATCAGAGGAACTGGGTTCAAATCCTGATTCTGACACTTACCTATGTAACCTTGGGCAAGTGGCCTCTCCTTCTTATCTCCTTATATGTAAAATTGTATAATTTATACAATGATAATAATATAGATAAATATGCCTTTGAAAGACTTTAGAACTCTGATCAACACAGTGATAAACCATGGCTCCAAAGAATGAAGATGAAACATGCTACTCACCTCCTGACAGAGAAGTGATGAACTCAAAATGCAGAAAAAAGCATATACTTCCAGACATGCCTAATGTGGAAATTAATTTTGTTGGATATTATACCTATGTGTTGAGGTCTTTATTTTTCAGGTTTGCTTTTTTATTTGCATAATTGAGTGAGTAACGGGAAAGATAGATTAATTTTAAAAATACTTGTGAACGTAAAAAATAAAAATAGTAAATTCTTAAAAATATGTAAGATGATGGTAATGTACTGGATGACCTCCACAGTTCCTTCAAGCTCATAGTAACATCTGAAGGCAATCCACTATCAAATTCACAGATTTGAAGAGAAACTCTTCTCTTAGTAATTTTTACCTTCTGAGTTAGTTGACTCACTTGTCCTTGGTCAGGGACATCATGGGGATAACTGAATTGCAATGGAAATATTTGCTTTAATTTTAGAAATTATCATGGCTTGAACTTTGTTGCTTGGCAAGCCAATAGACTAATTTTGGAGCCCATTGGACTCATTTGGAATAATTTACACTTATGTTGGACAAGTAGCTTTCAGAGCCAAAGTTGTGCTTTGAAATCATTCTCGTTGATATTTTGTTAGGCTTATGAAGAAGTTTTATATTACCCATAAAGAGCCCAATATGCAGATTTTGAGTTTTATTAAAGGGATCTCTAAGTACCAGCTTATTTTCTGCACAAAAATGAATAACCTCAGAAATGCATTTGAGACTTTTGTATAATTTTTACTTTTCTGAGTTGAGTGATTATTTGAGTAGTAGCATCAAGAAAATATCTCTTTTCAAATTCTTTTTTTTTTTTTTTTGGTTTTCTGTCCTACTTCAAAGAAAATTTATGCACTGAATCCTTATGGTATTCAGGCACAGATGCAAGTTTTTGGAATCTGAATATTCTTTTTTGGGGAGTGTGATCATACTTTATTTTGTCTTAC